AGTCGAGACTTCAATTACTGACTTTCAGGCTTGTCAGCCATCATTTGGGTTGACGCCATTTATTAAACATTATTTTGTGGATAATGTTCTTTATACAAAGCCGGTGTTAAGAGGCATATCGGGCATGAAGAATAAGTAGACTATGTTAAACAAAACACYACTTTACCTTAACCCGGCCCCTAATTTTGTTGAAGATAGTTATTTGTTTTATTTCACTAGCCTTAAGCTTCGAAARACCATTAATACAAAATACTCCTTCGTTAACTCTGCCGTGTCCATTTATAATTCAGAAGTCTCATCGCTCGTGCATATTTATGTATGCATAAGAGAAAAAAAACATTAACAGCATTAAGTAAACTATTATCAATATGAAGTATCTGAAGAAGACCAGACTGTGGCTTATATGACGTCTTCCAGTGTCKTMTTCARTCGTTTCATATCATRAGGGCTGGTAATTTACTYTATGCGCATGCTCMTAATGTCACTGTCGACTATGTCCCACATGGCGAAGTGCTATTCCTCATTTGTAAAACTTCTATGGTTAGGAGAGCATATGTTTGTATTTGTTGTAAGATTTTGATCGAAAACAAAGACATAATCAGAGAATATTATAATGAGTATTAAATATTAAAAGATAAAACAAAAAAGCTGGAAAACAYAATGCTAATGAATGTTTGATTAAACGTGTATTTAGATAATTTATAGGAATACTGTTATTTCCAGGCATTAAAAGTGTGTAATATTAATATCATTAACCACTGCTATGGTCTTTCAAAAACCGTTWAATATTTGAAGAMTACTCGAGTTAGGGGCACACCTTGACTGAGTATTAGTTAGTGTTTCAGGGGTTGAATTTATTGACTCTGTTAATTAGTTGACGTCTGCTTCTTTGTTGTTGATGTTGCTGTTGTTGTTCTTGTTGTTGTTTGAAAACGTTTTTGACTTCAGTTTGTTAGTTTTACACCGATACACCTTAATATGCTCTTGTGAAAAGTGTGATGCATTTTTTGTTATTGTACCTCATCTTTGCTTTTTTTTTTTACAAATGGAATATCATATAGTGCTTAATATTGTTATTATACATTTTGAAAATATTAAAATTCACTATTGCAATGTTTTTATTATTGAAGTTCCTGTTATGATTATGATTATAATTGTTATAGTATTATGTTTTTGGTATATTATATAGTTCTAGTTATTGTTATTATATATTTTTTGAATATAAATATTCCACTTTGCGATTTTTAATTATGTTTTTATTATTTTAGGTTTTGTTATGATTATATTATTATTGTTATTATATATTCTTGTAATAAGCATTATTGTCAGTTATTAACATATTATTAGCAGTGGCGGTAATAGAGAGGGATTATTATGTAGTGTTTTTGTAGTTTATTTTAGAGAGTGAAAACAGACCTCAAAGTTAACTAACCCTAGTATAGTCCTTTAATGTTCCAGGAATTTTTTGTCAACTATCTAGTATGGATTATAGTAAGTAATAGTTTTGCTGTAATTGACTTGGAGTAGTATAGGGGGTGTGGAAAAATCCATCAACTTGTAAATGACATTTGGCAAATTACGTTCATTGAAAATCATCTTATAAAAACATTGCTTTTGTTTTCATGAAAATAATCTTTTGAGATTAATCTCGTTTTAATTCTAGTACATTCAAAAACTTTATTAAAGATATTTCTCTATTGGGATTTGTCTGAGACTCTAGTTCAAACTGGGATTACTTTCATTTTCGCGTTTTTAACCTAATTTTCTTAGTGTACACATGTCTGATATCCTTCAAAATCCCCGTTATTTCTATATTTTTTTAGGAATTAACGTACTTTATAATAAAACCTTTCGACATTTTCTTATCTATTTAATTGTAGTGAAAGCAGCCAACCAATTAACTTGAACATGTTTCGCTTTAACATTTTGTTTAATTAAAATTTAATATTTTTTTAAGCACTTTTATTTAAGAAGACAAGTGGCGTCTTTACAATGGCTTTTGAATTATTCTCGTGTTTTGTTGGAGGATATATTTTTTTTGATATCTAGCTAGAATATAAAGCCTTTTGTAAATGAAGAACGAAGCCTGACAATAGTCGCTGTTTGTGGTCGTCTCTCACTAAAGTAAACACTGCCATGACGTTTTTTCAATTCTCAAGATCGAGTCATACAATATTTTTAGTTTAACTGCGATATTTTGCTTTTGTGGTATTTTCAAAGTATACGTGACTAGCTACGACTACAATGAGTAGTATGCCGTGTACTGTTATGCACTAAACAATAGCGAGCGAAACATGTACACTGAAGGCGCGTTTTAGTACTGAAGTTCGCTCAATTAGATAGCGTGTTTAGAGACCAATGTCTACACTTATGAGTGCAAACTACGCTCGTACGTCGCTTAAGACCAGTAGTTAGTTCTCGCTATCAATTTAATTGTCAGCTTAAATTGCAAAACCGTTTTTTTTTTAATACATACATATATATCCTGCTAGCTTTCAGTGTATTTAATATATGACAGGTCATTACTAACAGAAAATCCTTTTAGCTATCTGTACTGTGTGGTTTTGGTGATAAACTTTGATCGTTTTGTTTTAAGTATATTTTCACCCGTTTTGATATGAGAAATCCAAGTTTTTTTCTCAGCACGCTCTCTCCAGTAACTCATGAAGAAGCGCCAAATTTCGCTTTCCTCAGTGCGTCAGAGCTGAATTTTTGCCGGCGGTCAATTTACATGTGGATGTGGATTCTAAGTGAGTAAAGTCCGTACTCGACGCTTGTTTTGGTTTTGTGCGCAAAACATTCCGATTACTAAATGAGAACAAAGCAAAACCTTGTACCATAAAAGGGTCCGTTAATAATTCTGATATTCAGGTAACAACTTAAAGCTGTAGTTCACAGATGCTATCTGTTGGAAGACAAAGCAATCATTCATTGAGATCTGATAGATAAAGAGTTTTGGCAATTTGAACTTGTTATTTGAATAAAAGACTAGATTTAATGTCGCTTTCTTTAACATAACATGAGTACGGAATGTCAATATTTATATCAAAATAATTTTCGATTCTGTTAAAAACATGAATTTATGGAAGGATCTTTAAGGTTTTTCATTTCAACACCGAAACTCTCACGTAGGTTAAGCTAATTACCATATAATGTACATTCATCTATTTGAGTTTTCACCGACGCTAAAAACGTTGATTAATGAAGAAAACCGCTCGGAGGCGCTCGGAGGAACTCATGTTTACTAAGGAACCTGCTGGAATTGTTTTGACAAGTCTTTACCCAAAAATCAGAGGGTAAAAATTTCTTTTTAGCCCTGAATTTTCCCGATACTTAGAAATATTGAGTTAGATAGTGCAAAAATTATAAACAGTTGAATATTTCCCGCTGCGAAACGAAATAATAAAGATTCAAAAAGATCCGTTGGATTAAATGGTACGGGTTGCAGAAACTTTGGCTTAAGTTGATCGCCAGGATTTATAGTTYGTAACGAAAGCTCATACAAAGAAAATATTATAATGGGGCAATGGTGTTATTCAACGTCAAGTGCTGGAGAACTGTGTTTTTATTTAAWATTTAGTTGCTTTTTCTAATGCCCCGTCGCGAGCGCTATCTAAAAAATCGCGCAAGCTGTTCAATTTCGTGCCTTGGCAAGTAATAACGATGCAGTGTGTGTTTATAGTTCCCTCCACTGATCCACCGCAACGTTCTTAAATATTATCATTGTTTACCACTATTTTAAAATCTTTCTTTCTTACACCTTTCATTCATGATTCAATACAGCCTGAGTATTGGAGATTTCCAACTGAATTATCGGTTTGCAARTTAATACAGTAGAAATTAATGCCTTTTAAATCTTCGTGTAACAACAGATTTTTTTTGTGCGTTTTGGGCAATGTTTTAAATGTTGATTTTTATTGATCGCGTTCGTTACAATTGACTCGTTATTGTACACCAGCGGATGGGTAATGATGTCAAGGACAAATCACACCTCCGAGGACTAATTTTTCCGTTAGGGTAGGAAATAAGTAAACATTATGTTTTGTTCTCTTTCTTCTCATAAGAGTTTGCAATTGCWGTCCGTCAGAGTGCCGAGCGAAGTCAATAAAAAGTTAGCTGGCATTTAAATTTAAATAGCTTACCTGTGCATACTTTGATGAATATGGCTGTTCCAATAATGCCCATGCTTTTTGTTTTAAAGTAACCCCAGTTTTCGGGCCTATATGCTCGATGCCTAGTGCGCTATTATCGATGTCCGATTCCGCGTTACCTTTCTGCAAGCCCTCAAAAGCTTTTAGAGTCGCTTGCGCTTCCCTGTGTTGAGTATAGTTGCTCCAGCAACACGGCTCCATTTGAAGCTCCTCGATTCCCCAAAATGCGAGCTCCTCTTCAAAGAGAGGACCACAAACGTCGCCTGGACAATGCAGTTTACCAGTACGATAGTAATTCAAGACATTGGCAAATACACCTGGATGTCTATCGAAAAACAGCTCGTTCGTCTCCGGATCGTACTCCGCTTGTTTTGAAGCATTCTCTCCGATCCATGCCAGCCTGGAGTCCGGAACAACTCTCAGCGTACTCAGATATGTCTCATGCCGGTTTCCACCAACGTTTATGATAACCCGATCTTTACGAGAAGTAGATCGTGAAGCATTTGAATCGCTTTTATCGAGTTTGATTCCGTCCAGTTTCATTATAAACTCGCTCACCCCTCTAAACGGTCCATTCAAGACGGATAATGAGGTCTGAATGTAATCGATTCACGTTTGGCCGGAGCGTTTCTCTGGCGCACGTTTCAGTGGCTCACAACTCTGAACGGTTTTTGATTTATTCGCTTATGCTGGGCACCTGTTTGCGAAAACCCCAAATCGTTACTACACTCATTTGCATACGAAAGTCCAAAATCACAAACCGAAGCCGACTTCCACGTCATTACTGAGTTTGGCGCCCTGTACTGTAAGCCTAATTCYACGGTTTGCTTTGTGAAGTTTTTAAAACCACGTAATTTTGGGAAGATATCTCGGTTTTGATGCTTGGAGTTCCTTATAGGTCAAAAAATATGACACTTAGTGGCTATAAGGACTACTCCAAACGATGRCCAATAGGGACTCAGTTTTGTGAATATATTTTCTTAACATCTTGCGATGGTATTGTAGCAGAAAGGGTATGAACAAGGTGCAATGTCTTCGGAGCATTTTTTTTTAATCGAAATTTGTCATTTATGTTAACTGGTCATTAGCTTTTTCTCGATAAATTTGATGAGTGTTGTGGTGTTATTGTTAAACAGATCTGGCTATGTGAATCCACGCGGTGCGCCATCGCTAGAGCACTAGGTGTCAAAAACATTTTCACTGTGCACTTATTAATGGCAAAATACTACGCTCTAAAAGGTGATGATTGAGAATGAAAAAAAAACACCATTTTCCCGCTGTAAATCTGATATCCAGATAGTACTCCAAAAATCAGGGAAGTGTTCTTTGAAAGCACGGCTAAGCGAGTCTGTAAAACAAGCAAACATTATAAAAAAAGGGTATTATAAAAAAAGGGTATTATAAAAAAAGGTAACCGTAAATTATGCCATTGTGGTATTCTTGATGGTGTTCTATTGTAGCTTTGTCAGATAACGAAAAACACTATCAGATTTAGGGCAAAAAATCTAACCCAGGCGGTTTTTAATTAAAGGTTCAGCGAGTGATCGATGTTTGCTTTGAGGAATCTTCTTGATCAATATTTTGATGATTTATACAAGTATTAATTAAACTGCAACTTCTGTTATCCGACATTATCCCACACACTATTTTGGGATGTGATCAATTCGAGATATTTTTCGGAGTCAATTTTAAAGCACGATATCGACATATTTCACCAGATTTTACCCTCGACATTCCAGCATCGTCGTTGAACTCAATCACTACTATAATTGTAATTCAGCTTTAATTATTATCATTGAAATTGTACATCTAGACGATCTAAGTGGTTTAAGGGTTACAAGTGTAGAATGACCCGCAGCAAGGAAAAAACTCATTAGCTGCACACGACGGACAGATATTGGGCTTAAACCTGACAGTAATCCATGTCATTTCTCTTTGTGAACTTCGATGGARACGCATACAATATGCATGTATGAATGCCATCTACTATTGAACTAAGGATTTGGTATGACATTTTTGACATATATGATAGATCTTGCCCAGAATTGTGATGGTTCCCTTGGGGTGTCAAGTCGAAAAAGAAAAAAAACTTTGTTAATAATTGATGCTTTTTTTATGGCGGACCATTTGCCTTCATAAAGTACGTTTATCACTGAATATCTGCCAGCATCTTAAGAGAAMAACTGCTTGTAATTTCCATGGCACGTTTGACATTTCTCTAGTTAATATTTTTCATTAATCTTCCTTGAATTTTATTTTTCAAATATACTTCATTTCAAGCGCTTAGCAACTATCATATTGCGTTTCCTAGGTAACTTCAACTTGAATATTTTTCACGTTAAAAGGTATGATTTTTTCCGATTATGAAAGCCACTGCTCATACCAAAGCTCTTTCATTTAGTTTGGCAGTGGTTAAGTAGATTAAGTGTTCAAATTGAGCAAAAATCTTGATTTTTCTTCGAGAGGTAAATATGAAGACAGACGGTCTGGCTTTTAGGGCTGCTTTAAGTGTATGATGTACACAATAATAACTTTGTTTTCGTCTGACAATGTTGTGGAAAGTGTCATTAATTATTTTACTAACTCATACAGCGAAAGAGCTGTCAAGATATAAAATAATGCAATATCAAGARAAATATAATAAAGAGACAGGTTTAAATTGATATAGTATAGAAAAACCGAAAAAAATGGCGATAATCGTAATCTTTTGTCATAAAATTACAAACATAGTATTTTTCATCAGGTTGTTTTCAGTACTTTAGTGTGTGAGACTTTATCTTTCTTTTTCAGTATTTCTTTTTAGTCCACGTTTATAAAAAGATATGAATGGTGTCATGTTTTTAAATCATTCATAATATACCTATGCCCCGAGTTCTGACTTAAAATCTCCAGCTAAGTTATTTCAATTCTAAAATGCATCATTTTCAATATACGCCCTTTTTTATTGAACCTTTCATCTTTACCATCGTTTCTCTGCTTTCTAAACAACACATGTTAGATGCTTTCAAGTCAATAGGGTTTTAAGATACAGCACACTTCAAGAAAATAAACCATTCTCAAGAAAAGCTCCACGTACGATCACAATGTTTTGTGTTTTCGTGCTACAGAACTTCCTGTCCATGTTCTGTGATCCATTTAGACGGCGTTTAGGCCTGCGGCTTTCAAGTAAAACCTACTTACGCAAAGCAAGGCAGAGATTGATCGTGTGTCTACTGTGATATTATTCCGTGAGGCGCGAAATTGACTTACCAGTTGGACTAAACACTACGATTTCACACTATAATCTTTCCCGGTATATTAAATCTTCTTTTTWAAAAAAATGATTTATCATAAAATGAGAAACCCTAGTCTATTGTTACATTATAATTAAAAAGAGAAGAAGCTGTGAACAAAATGAAAGGGTTATGGACACTAGAAGATTGGAAATAAAGCAAAGACATAAACAACTTTCTTCTAGTGTGTTTTTGCAAGGGATTTGTGGCCTTTGGTAAATCCCTTCTTATCGACAGTATATCAAATATTGACCTTTAAGCTGGCTTAATATATTGTAGAATATCTATAATAGCGTGTCTGTGTTTCATCTCGGCTCGTATCGTGTTYCTTTCAAGTGCATCCAAATGAATAAAGAGCTTTTCTGTGTTTTGACTTCCTCTGCGAAGGAAAGGCATTACTTTGTCCTGTCAATTGGACATGATTTTCGAGAACAGTGAAAACAATAGCTTATGACAGTAATGTCGCCCAGCGATATAGTGTCAACCGCGTGGAATGAAATGTTGGTAGATTGGAAGATAACAGAATTTAATGATGAAACGACTTGCGATAAAGGATAAGTAAAAGAATAGATTGAAGAAAGTAAATAAATRTTTGATTTTTCTTTATAATCATCGATAAATGGTCAGTGAATGTATGAATGAATGAAAGACTGAATTTTGAAAAAGTAAATGAATAGTTGAAAAAATGGATAATTCAGTTAAAAGGGGATTTATGAATGGAAGAATAAATGGTTGAAATTAAAGGAAATGGTAAAAGGATAGGTAAGCAAATGCCTTCATTTTCAAAAAATCTAATGGATGTAGGAATGAGACAACAATTAGCATAACAATGATAAGTGAAATAGGGAATGAAATATATAAACTGACGAGGAAATAGACATTAAATTAATAAATGCGTGGTACACACAAGACTAAGCAAATCCTTAATTAATTGGAGCCAAGGTTGGTGGCTAATTAAAAGATGATGGATGCAAACGTTGCTAGAAGCATCGACAGATAGGTAGATATGGCTAAATGTTGGATGGAAAGTATAAAAAACTATTGGATGGATGGATATATGACAAAATATTTGATGACATGAATATCGGACGGCTGAATTAGTGAAAAAGGAATGGATCTTAAGAATCAAAATGAATAGTGAAATGAATGAATTTATGAATAAAAGATTGAAAGATGTAACGATTGAATACTTTATTAGCGAGTCGAATAAATGAATGAAAGATGCGAGTATACACACTAGAGAAACCATGCCGATAATGATATATAAGATCATGACTCTATTATTTGTAGACGGAGTTTGAAGCTAATTAAAATAGAATGTATGCAYACATTGCTTGAAGCCAGTGCTAGATAGATTTTTATGGAAAAGTTTATATGACAAAATATTGGATGGAAAATGCTTTATATGTGATTAAATATTGGATGGCAAGTGCTTGATATATGATCAAATATTGGATGGATGATATGGACGGATCGCTGAGTTAATGTAACAACATACGATAAACTCGAAGAGAACAGCGAAAAAAAGATGAAGAAGTCGATCTGAATGAATCTATGAATGGGAGATTTTAATAAAAGATCAGATATAACGATGATTGATTTTTCTCATGAGTAGGCCGAATAAATGAATGCAAAAGCACCAGAGAAAACCATAACATGTCGATAATGATCGATATGAGTTCATAACTTTATAATGCATTTGTAAATTAAAAAAAATTATATCAATCTTTAATATTTGTCTTGATGGTGCGATGTTTATGTAACGGGTTTAAGTGGAAGCAGAATTGAAGGGAAATAAACTACAAAAACAAAGCGAAAAGCAGAAGAAATGGTAAAACTAATGATAACAAATGTAATAATAAAGTTAACGTGAATATGCAAAGTCGATATTCATTTGCGAATTAAAGCTGAAAGAGAGCTCTGACATGCTTTGGCGACAGCACCGGATTTGAACAGTGTCCGGTATACAATCAGATTGCAACTGGCTAGTATCTATTATGAGAATCATGTCGTTTAGTCCACTACACTGACGCTACACTAAGGCATAAAAGTGATTAATAATATTGATAATATGATATTATCGTCAATTTAATCATAATTATACTAGTCAGCAAGAATGATAGTATTAAAAAAATATTCATGACTCTCAATGCGTAGTCCCAGTGAACACGAACAAAGTTAGAACTAAGGCGCCAAGAAACACTAAGTACAAGGGAAAGCGAAAGCCATGAACTTCTAAAATAAATGTATATAAATCGAGACGACTGGCCAAAGATAAGAATTTGTTTCTAACATAAAACAATMTKCCATTTTCTTGTTCAAAGCGARTGACCGCTGTGTTAGTTAACARCGGGCTCACTTGCGAAAAAAMCGTTCTATTGAAAAAAGAAATGCGAAAAAATACGTTCACTAAAATAGCTCCAGTTTTATGATAAGCTATTTTATGGTAATTGCAACGATTTTRTGACAAGCCTGTCATATTGCCCAATATCGAGTCTTCTAGGATTACAGACTTTATAGAATCAAATKGGAGAAATCTAACAATCGTAAACGTAAAGCTGTCAATCGCAATTTTTTTCATGTTTCATTTCATCATTATTTTTGTATATATCTTTATTATCATTATTA